ACCTCAACCAGAAAAAAAAGAAAATTTAAAGATTTGAATAACAACTTCTTCTAAGCTAAAGTTATATTACATGACACTAGTTTTTTTTGTTTTGTTTTTAGTTATTTTTAATGTGTTTTATTGGTTTTATTTATTTGCTCTAGTTTTATTGTTTTAGGACTAGTATGATTAAATCTGAGAGTTTATTTTATCATTATATTGTTATTTGTTGTTATTAGTATGGATTTGTGCAGCACTTTGGAAACTGTGAAATGTGCTGTATAAATAAAATGGATTGGATGTTTCTTTCTGTTCATTATATTCTCTTGGAGCCTGGCGTGTTGTCCCTCTACCTCATGCGTGCTGAACATTTCTGGAGTTCTGGAGTCCTTTACACTGTTGTCATTTTTAGCTCGGCTGGCTCCCGGCTCCCAGCTCCCCGGTCGATTCTGCCTCTTGTCCCCGCGTAAACATGGAGCCTATAAATAAACCGGGTGGAGATGGTGTCACACGGCGGAATGACAGGCAGCCGCTCCGCACTCACCGTGTCCTCTGCACACCACGCACCAATGTCAAGACCGTTGGCATGTACGAGCGCCGCATGTCTGCCTAATATTATAATCGTTGCTATGACTGTACTGCTACTAGTAGTCGACGAAATCTTGGATGTTTTAAAGGTGCATCGTGTGACTTTTTGGGGTTTGTCCGTACACTTCTTAATGATACCCAGGCCTATAGTTACCAGACTCTCCAAACCACAGATCTGACTTGTAATTTGGCTTTTTGGTAGGGCTATCGCGGTTAGGGGATTTCTCCTGCGGTGCCGTATAGCGGCTCAACAGCTTGATATGTGGTGATATCGCACCCCCTTTCCCACCCCCAATCCCCCGGAGTTACAATATTTCCAGCGGCACTGAAAACTCAGATGCTCATGTACCTTGGTTGTCGCGCGGATATAGCGTGTGCTCTCAAAGGGGAGAAGTAAAATTTGTGCCGCTGCATCTGTCCAGCTCTCACTGTGGCAGCTCGGGTCAGAGTTCTGCTCCAGGTCGCGTACTCGCAGACTTAAGAGAGAGAGAACACCAAGCACGAGGAGCAGGTGTCCGCAAAGCGCAATCGGGAGATGGCTGCGTTTACCTGTGGCGGTCCTTTCGCCTGCGGTCACCTGACAGTCTACATGGGCACACCTTAGTCCTGGGTTAGTCCTGGGTTAGTCCTGGGTTAGTCCTGGGTTAGTCCTGGGTTATCACGGGTGGTAACGGGTGGAATGTTAACGGGTCTGGGCGGGTCCGGGTCTCTAAAAATGCATTGCCTGCTTGTCTGTGTGATCAAAATAGTTCCGTAATACACCGAGACTGAGACCAGTTTAGTCCTGTTTAGTCCTGGTTTATACCTCCTGTTTTAGTCCTGTTTTAGTCCTGTTTTAGTCCTGTTTTGGTCCTGTTTTGGTCCTATTTAGTCCTGTTTTAGTCTTGTTTCAGTCCTGTTTATACCCGTTTTAATCCTGTTTTAGTCCTGTTTTAGTCCAGGGATCAGACCTGGTTCAGACCTGTTTTAGTCCTAGGATCAGACCTATTTCAGACCTGGTTAAGACCTGTTTTAGTCCTGGTTCAGTCCCGGGATCAGTCCTGGTTCAGTTGTGGCTCAGTAGTCGTTCAGTCCCGGGATCACTCTCATTTTAGTCCTGTTTTAGTCCTGTTTTAGTCCTGGTTCAGTCTGTATGTGGCGCAAAAGCCCGACATGGCAGTTTAATTCAAGACAGTTATCCGTTTTTTACATTATTATTTTCCATTTCTTATTTTTGGTTTTATTTTGAAAAACCAATGAAATCCACCTTGCACGTGAGCGAACAGAAAACTACTTCGAGAGAGCTCACCCGAACGCATGTTTTATCGCGTGGAACTATTTTGACGCCATACTTATCTCCCTGGAGCTTCAAAACTTTAATGCTATACTGTGGAACATTCCTAGCAAAGCAGAAAAGTTACGCTGTGGACCTTTAATACGAAGCGTCGCGTCTGGCAAAGCAGTGCATGGGTAGTTTCCTCTTGTATTTCTCATCTGGAGGCTTTGGAGATGCCACATGGGGGAGCGAGGGGGGAGCGAGGGGAGCGAGGGGGGAGCGAGGGGGAGCGAGGGGGAGCGAGGGGGGAGCGAGGGGGAGCGAGGGGGGCTGTGGCAGTGTTCAGATGCCTTGGATAAGTGTCTGTAAATATGCCCGAGGCTAAAGGGAGCGTTCAAATGGACCACTGGGAAATGCCAAGTCTGTGAGGGAAGGGAAGCTGTGGGATGAGCCAAAGTTGTCTGCACTTTACTTTGGGGATTTCAGTATTCTACTCTGTCTAGCAATATATTTTAAAGTTAGTATTAGTAATAATAGTGGTAGTAATGGTAGGTATTAGTGGTGGTGATAATAAGTAGTGGTAGTAGCTACTGGTAATAGGTATTAGGTAGTAGGTCATGGTAATATGTATTAGGTAGTGGTAATAGTGGTAGTACTTGTTGTAGGCAGTGGCAGTAGTGGTAGTAGGTAGTAACGGTGTAGTAATGGTAGTAGTAGTAGTAACAGTAGTGGTAGTAGTAGTAGTAGTAGTAGTAGTAGTAGTAGTAGTAGTAGTAGTAGTAGTAGTAGTAGTAGTAGTAGTAGTAGTAGTAGTAGTAGTAGTAGTAGTAGTAGTAGTAGTAGTGTAGTAGTAGTAGTAGTAGTAGTAGTAGTAGTAGTAGTAGTAGTAGTAGTAGTAGTAGTAGTAGTAGTAGTAGTAGTAGTAGTAGTAGTAGTAGTAGTAGTAGTAGTAGTAGTAGTAGTAGTAGTAGTAGTAGTAGTAGTAGTAGTAGTAGTAGTAGTAGTAGTAGTAGTAGTAGTAGTAGTAGTAGTAGTAGTAGTAGTAGTAGTAGTAGTAGTAGTAGTAGTAGTAGTAGTAGTAGTAGTAGTAGTAGTAGTAGTAGTAGTAGTAGTAGTAGTAGTAGTAGTAGTAGTAGTAGTAGTAGTAGTAGTAGTAGTAGTAGTAGTAGTAGTAGTAGTAGTAGTAGTAGTAGTAGTAGTAGTAGTAGTAGTAGTAGTAGTAGTAGTAGTAGTAGTAGTAGTAGTAGTAGTAGTAGTAGTAGTAGTAGTAGTAGTAGTAGTAGTAGTAGTAGTAGTAGTAGTAGTAGTAGTAGTAGTAGTAGTAGTAGTAGTAGTAGTAGTAGTAGTAGTAGTAGTAGTAGTAGTAGTAGTAGTAGTAGTAGTAGTAGTAGTAGTAGTAGTAGTAGTAGTAGTAGTAGTATTAGTAGTAGTAGTAGTAGTAGTAGTAGATAGTGGTAGTAGTGGTAGTAGTGATGATAGATAGTACACTATTAGATAGTGGTAGTTGTTGTGGTGGTGGTAGTAGTGGTAGTAGTAGTGGCAGTAGTGGTAGCAAGTACCAGGTAGTGGTAGTAGATGGTAAGTAGTTCGTAATAGTTGTGGTAGTGGTGGTAGTAGGTAGGTAGTAGGTATTGATAATACTCATTAGGTAGTGGTAAAATGGTAATAGGTAGTAAGTATTGGTAGTAGGTAGTAGGTAGTGGTAATATGTATTAGGTAGTGATATAATGGTAGTAGGTAGTAGTCATAGTAGTGGTGGTAGGTAGTAGGTGGTAGTAGTCTTGGTAGTATGTAGTAATGGTAGTGGTAGTCGTGGTTGTAGTAGTAGAAGTGGTAGAAGTGGTGGTAGTGATAATAGGTAGTGATAGTAGTGGTAGTAGGTAGTAAGTAGCATTTACACATTTGTTTTTAATGTTTTGAGTATTGATAGGCGTCCCTACTTTAGTGTTTTCATGAAACTAAAACTCCAAACTCAATTTCAATACTAAGGAAAAGACTCAAGACTCAATAATAATTCCGATACTATGATGATAGAATAGACAACAGAGTGTGATTTTATACATTAAATCATAGTACTTTCTTTTGCACTGATCCAGCTTTTTCACTCCCAATACCAATATCAATACTTTCACTTTAAGAATCTGCCGATACCCGATATTAACCAGGAGGAAATTGTGTCATGCAACTGTATTTATCCTTCAAATCACTACTGAACAGTTTTGTATGAATAAAAGTTCAAACCTGAAGAAAAAACTTGGAGAAAAACAGTCTGTAAATAATCTTATTACATCTTATTAAAGGTCCAAAAGAATATCGACTTAACCAAAATCGTGAAACTGATACTTGCTCCAGTAAATGTCAGTATCTGTGCCAATATCTGACATCCTTCAACACCCTCGCTCGTGATTGGCTCTTTCGTTGCTATGATACACGCGCTCTGATTCCCAATTATAGTCCCTGTTTGCAGATTATCCGCTATAACTCCTGGCCTCGATCTGGTTGCTCCGGAACACTCTGGAGGACACACTCTCTCAGTCTCACTCGTTTGTACAGTCTATGTCATTAATACACGTTCAAATTGCAAATGGACTCTACTTAAGCCAGTGCATGTACATCATTTAAATGATTGACACTGTGATATGAACTCCAGCTTGTGTCCAGGTTTTTATGACATGTCATTTGTCATTTAGAGTCAAAGTGCTGTCCAAAGCACTTTTTATCATTGGCCACATCAGAACTGCTGACACTCAGGGATCACGGAGCAGACAGTGCACAGACCTCTTGCATTAATCTCTATTATTCTACACTCCACACTACATACATCAAAATGGGACTTGTCACTACCAAGCTATGTTGACGTCACATTTTTTGGCTTCTTGAAGGTCTAATTAATGCAACAATCTAAAATGTTAGAATTCTGGAAGACATTTCTTGTACTAAAATTATCAAAACTTTAAAATCTTGCTTTGGTATGGTTGTCAAAAGTATTGAAAATCAGATACTAATCGAAACTCATTTGAATAGGTTTCAATACTAATAAATCAAATCCCATTCACAGGACAATGAGCAAATGAGATTGACATATTACAGTTAAACCCATATATTGTTGCTTTATCCTTTCAAAATGTGGTACGGTGCATGAATTTATTGTGTGTCTGGTGGTTTTTGTGTTTTTTAGCTTGACTGAACCATGACGACAGAAAGCGGTCCAGAGTCTGCGCCAAAGCAGCAGGAGAAGGAGAAGGAGGAGAAGGAGAAAGCCAAAGGAGCTTCTCAAACCAGCTCACCCCAAAACCAACCCGAGCTCCCGGCTGCCGTGGGACACAGCACCCCGGCCCACAAGGAACAGGTAATTTAAAAGGCCCATATTGCACTATTTTCTGGATCTATGTTATAATGCGGTTTCCTCAACACAAAAAGACCTGGAGTTGTGTAAAACTTTAGGGAGCAGTAGTGCTTGGATGTGTAGGGACTGTGCAGCATTGTCCTTTCGGGCTCTTCAGTGTTAGCCAGTCTGGCGCCACCGCTCAGTTTCATTTCTCTCCAGCGACTAGCGACTTGCAAGAACCTCGGAAGTTGTAGACCATGCACCGGCCAATCAGCAAAGAGCTCTGAAGCCATGACGTCAAACTCAAGCGTCTGTCTGAGTCCGTTTTGTGGTAAACAAAGCGGTTGAGATGAATGTAGACGAAGCCAGACATTCTGTGTTGGCAACAATTCCTGCGATTGAGAAGTTAAAGCCGGAATAAAGAGAATGTTTGGTGAATTTTATCAAGGAGAAAGACATTATTGCCCTTCTTCCTACAGGATTTGGTTTCCATGAAGTGAAACCGTCTGATAAATCAGGCTACTGATTAGGGACCATTAGTAGGGACCATTCTCAAATACAAAGTTGAAAAAGCTGAGGCACTTAAAAAGTACAAAATAATTAAAAGCCTTTATTACCACATGGCAAATAAAGTTAAAACAATAAGTTTCAGCCCTTCATCGCCTTCATCAGGGCAAACTCAAGACGGCCATGACAGTGCAAATTTAAAGTTATAGATGTAGGACACATGTTCATAGAAGCTGGTGCACAGTCACCTGGTGCATGATGGGACATGTAGGCTGAACAGATTTTAGCTTCATCATATTTAAATATGGTTCATGTACACCTTAATGTAAATAGTACAACTCCCAACAACCAATACATAATATAAAAATACATAGTGCAAAAAATACAAAAGTGTTACCGATACAATATGAAAAATGTGTATAATTTATTAGAGAACTTATCTTAAACAATTAAAATTAGACATTGGCTTGCAATTAATTACACATTAAAAGCTTGTGGTTTTAAAGGAAGGGAGGGAAATCAAACTCTCCATTGGGGCCTGGAAACTGGCCTCAATAAATAAGGAACACAATTGCAGTGCGGTCACACACTTGATATAGCGATATAACAGCCTATGATAACGATACTGTATCACCAAATTTAGTATCATGATATTTTGATATTTCAATATTTTTGCACACCCCTAATAAATAATAATACACAGACTATAGTAATTGTAATATATGGTTCGAGGAATGTATGTTTGCTCTCAAAAATGTGTTTACAAATTGCAAAAATGAGCACAATTATAAAACAATTCACAATTAACGATTTAAAGAAATAAAAATTTAAAAAATCCTACCCAAAATTCTAGTCTATCACTTCAAAACTAAACTCATATTTTCCTAATTTGTCAGTGAATGGACATCCCAGGCATTCTAAACGCTCTTACATTCCAGCGCGTCTGCTTTGGTAACAGACCTGAATTGAGTTGAGCCACAAGAGAAGAGACAGAAATAGGACAAACAGAGACTTGTACTGAACCAGCTCTGTGAACGTCCCAGATTTAAGTGTGAAGATAAGACTGCACATTGTATTGCAATTAGGGCTGTCAAAAGTATCGAAAAATCAGATACTAATCGAAACTGAAACTAGTATCGAAACTAGATACTCATGTGAGAAGGTATCAATACTAAAAAAAGTTATTCACTGTACAGAAATGATTCCTGAATAGCTGAAATCCATGATATTCTTGTATTATATTATTACTTCATATGCCACTCTTCTCGCAAATATTAACACTCCTGGAGTTGTTTACAATGCTAACAGAATCTGGCATTTACATTTTTTTGTCTGAAAAATCACAAAAAATATACCTGTTTTCATAAATAATAAGGAAACTCCCTACCTCTCTATCTTGCCACACTTTTACTTGTACTTGTCTGTTGGAACTGTTAAATGCTCTTGATGTACTTTTTAATATTACTTATTTATTATCATTTTTGTCTCTCTTAATTACTCGGCCTTTCGTTCTGTCATGTGTTTCTCTCGCATGCTTGAATGACAAATAAAGAACCTTGAACCTTGGCCTTGAACATTAGGCTTAAAGCTGCACTGTGTAACTTTCCTGGTTGAGAGGGTCGCTCACCTGTCAGATGTTATTGCTTTGCCTGGGATGTTCCACAATATGGCAATAAAAATATCTAATAGTGTGACAGTAAACATGTATTCTCAAAAATACTTTAACTCATGCGTTCTTACTGTGAGCGGGTCGCCTCTCTCCACAGATCAGACCTATAACTTGCCCTGTTGCTGTCACCTTGTCCCCATGGTGATGCAAAAATTTGATCTTACGCTATGGTACATGACAGGCAAAGCTATCGATACTTTGCAGCAACATTAGTCTAGGGGTGTTGTACATGTATGTGTGTGGTGGAATGTTTAGAAGTTACCATGGTGACACAATGGACACATTAGGAATCAAAGCCAAAAAAGGTCTGAAAACTCAAAGAAAAAATTACAAAATGTATTTTCAGGGCCTGTGAGCAAAACAGTTGTTCATGTTCCTGTTCAGGTTTTTCATCTTCAACAAAAAGGAATGGCTAACTCAGTGTTTTCTGCAGCTTTGACAACGAGTGGCCTTGACTACCACGTGAATCCTCGCAAAACTACGGTCGTCGCACGAAGTCCCCACCCCCCTCTCCTCACTTTTTCTCCGTGCACAGTATCTCTTCTGCGAGAAACACTATAACTGAAAAACTCTTGGCTAATGAATCCGCTTTTTCTGGTCAGATTGTGTTATCAGGATCCTGATGAGGGTGCGAAGATTTGACCATATCACCCCCATCCTGAAATCCCTTCACTGGCTCCCGATCACACTCAGGATTGAGTACAAGGTCTCCCTCCTCACTCACCACTGCATCCACAGTCACTCCCCCCAGTACCTTAAGGAACTCATCACTCCCCTGACCCCCTCACGCACCCTCCGCTCTGCAGCCACTAACACTCTCCAACCCCCCAGAACCAAACTTTGCACCATGGGAGATCGGGCCTTTTCCTCTGCAGCTACAAGGCTTTGGAATGCTCTCCCCGACCACTTGAGAGCCCCACAGTCTATTTCTGTTTTTAAACAAAATCTTAAAACGTATCTTTTTAAAGCCTTTTGTTAATTGTATTTTATTTTTGTTTTATCTTATTAATTCCTGCAATAGTTTTAGCTTGATCCACTGTTTGCTGATGCACTTTTTACTCATTGTTTTTACCTGTAGCACTTTGAGGATTATTTTATGTAAAGTGCAATATAAATAAAATATATTATTATTATTATTATTAAATTAAAGCTCAGATTAAAGTCTAATTTGAGCTTCAGACAGAGCAGTGCCTACATTTAGCGTCACACCCTCAGGGAATGTTGACGACAAAGGATCAGTAACATTTCCATCTACACGATCAGATGGCTTAACCCCATAAAGTTGCGTAGTGCACCTTTATTAAGACTGACTTAAATACTTAGTTTGTTGCTTTAGGAAGTCCACAGTAAAATAACATCTATAAAACAAACCCATTACATGCTTTTACATAAGACCTCTTCCTCCCACACTGACGGTGATGGATAGTTTGAGCTGTTTTCAGATCAGTGTGAAGTGACAGAAACATGGCTGTGAAATAGAAGCACATTTTAACACACCGGTGTCTGCTTCCTGGTTCCAGCGTACAGTATGTGAATGAACCGGGTCTCATGGCAATCTAGGTTTGAACAAATATTACTAGTATTTCTGGCAGTTTTGTGGGAAAAATAATGTATTTTTTTAGCTTATTTTGTATATACTGGGACTAGTTGTTTGGTCATTATCTGATTTTTGGAGTTATATGGATCATTTTAAGGTTCTAGATTATGTGAAATGGACTCTTGTGAGTTTTAAGACGTGTTACAATGCTGTTACCTCCTCAAAAACATACGTGGATATTAGAGTTGGGTGGTAATACGGTATTATGGTATCCCGAGGTATCAAAAAGTAGCAATCAGTAGTACCAGTTTCATGACCATCATTAAAAAAATCTGCAGTGCATAAAGACCTAATGTAATATTATAATTTATTGATACCTAAATTTGTTTGCTCAGCCTAAACGAATGTGTAGTTGTATTTTCAATTTAATTCTATCTTGATTTAAAACTAATAGTGTGTATAATGTTTCTTTTAACTGCGTGGGGAGATGACGTTCGATTAGTTTCGTTCCGTTGTCACGTGACGCTCATAAGAGAGACCAAGACAAGACGGCAAGTCCGGCCGCAAGAGAGTTGGTCTAAAAAAAATACTAGTACTTCTGCAATTTGGCAGCATTTTGGCTCCAGGCGCACATTTGTTTACGTTTTGCAGAAACGAAACTTAAAACCACATGGCTCATTTGTATAAATTATAAAGTGCTGATAAAAACAGCTCTTTCCTTGTGCTGCTGATGCGGTTCAGCTTCTGTCGGAGTAAAGGACAAGAGTTAATGGATTATGTGTGTGTGTTTTCTCTCTGACAGAGGATGTGCTGCTGATGGTGAGTCTGTTCTGTGTGTGTATCGCGTTGGAGATGGTTCATGTGAAACTTTTCAGAGATTATAAATCTGCAGTTCATACACATAGACTGTATAGTAGTGCGGATTCGTAGCTTACCGAAGTCGTACTAAAACATTTTGGTAATACAGTAATACCATATACCCTGGTAAAATCACGAGAAGGATTAACGGTATAAAAATTTGGATACCGCCCAACCCTGCCTGGAGTGTTTTGTTTCATTCACACATGTTTGAGTAATCCTTTATTATTAGTCTGTCTACATCTCCAAATCTCAAAATTCTCTGCTCCACCTTGTGATGTCATGTATTGTTAGTTTTCAAGTTTACCGCTACCTTTTCTTTAGTGTAGAGATTGGAAATTCCGGAGCTGAAATGATCCAAATGATTCTAGTGAAGGTGTATAGAGTTTAAAAACAAGGAGGAACTGATTTTTTTTCTGTTTTGAGAGAAGAACTCAGCCTAAATATGCAGGATTTGTGTGTTAAACATGTGTGAATGAAACGAAACAACATTATAACAAAGATCAGAAACTAGTATACAGTAATACAGGCCCTTTAAACGTTATATAAACAGCTCAGCAGGTTTTAATGAGGAGTTATTTTAAAATTAATTGTACTCTCTTGTCTTTTCAAATATAGAATTCAATTAACCACAGTTGTAATTGCGCCGCCCAGTTTTTATTCATAGATTTTGCTTCTAATTAAAATGTACTCACCACTATTCGTTTGTTGTAATGGACGCAGTTCTAAAATCAGTTTCTTCCACTCTGTAGTTTACATCTATCTATACAAACATGTTCGAAAACGTGATTCTTATATGAGTTTGTCAGTTTATATTTCAGTCTCTTTGTCAATTCTTGTGGATAAGTTAAAAATGTGAACACAAATGAACACAAATTTAATCAAAATCTCAGTACTCGTCAGAGAAAATCGTTCAGCCTTAAATTATACTAAACCTTGCAGACTTTGTGGTTTGGCTGCGCTACACTTTTTACTACATTAAGACATTTGTTTGGGGGCCTGTCACCCGCTTGTTTCTATGGAGATGTCATCGCTTTGCATGAAATGTTCCACAGTATGACATTAAACAGATCTGCCTCACATTTATTCAATTGCATTTGGTTTTATAGCTCAAAAACGCCTAGAAAAACAGGCATTCTGACTGTGAGCGAGGTTGCCTCAACAGATCTGACTCATAACGTTGTCTGGTTTGGTCTCCCTGATGATATAAAAGAATGAGAACTTCGCACATCAATTAGTTGAGACAGATGCGTTGGAGGAGAGGGAGCAGCCCAAGAACATGGAGAAAAATCCCGTACACCGTCTTACTTGCAAATTGTGGTGAGATTTATTAGGATAAACCGTGCAACGTTTCGGCACTAGGCCAATAAATCTCAGGCAATAAATCTCACAATTTGCAAGTACAACGGTGTGCGGGGTTTTTCTCTATGTCTCCGTGATGATAGAAAGGTTTAATACCATACTGTGAAACATTCCAGACAAACCAATAACATCTCTTACACAGTGCATCTTTAAGTTATTGTAGTTTACTCAATCGAAGTTGTATTTAGAGCAGGGGTAGCTCACCAAGGGATTTCTGAATTATGTGTATTGTGCTGAATAACCGCTTATTACCATTGTACACGTATCATTTCGATTCCTGTGTGCACTAATAAATGGATAATGTTTTATCTTTCAAACGCATCTAACTACACCCCGTCTAAGGCTTACTGTGGCTCTTCAATTTACTAATTTTTTTGCCACCACTAGAATGAGCGCAGTATTTCCCACAGAAAATTGGTTAGGACAAGGCAGTGCTGCCGAAAAGAGATTCCGTGCACGGAGAAGAAGCGAGGATTGCGGAGATTCTGTGCGACGAATGTAGTTTTGCGAGGATTCACGTGGTTCTGAGGGACGTAGAGTCAAGACGGGGGCCACATGTTGTCAAGGCAGCGCTCACCGGTGGAAAAAAATTGGAGACCCTTGATTTAGAGTGATTCGTGCATGTTTGAGTCATCTTTATTCTCCTGTATTCAAGACGTCATTGCTTCACGTCCACTGCTCTGTACTTAGTTCGAATTGTACTTTCTTACTCGATGATAGACGTAGGATTGGGCAGCGTCGTGTAGTCATTTTGGTAGAAATGAAAAAAGAAAAATCTGTCGCTCGCTTGTGTGATGTGAAACTATCCGATGTTCTGTAGTGCGTCCCAATGGGCACCGCAATTTTCCACTCCGAAGCCATTTTAGATCGATATTGCTTTGATTTCAAATGTCCAAATTATACATAATGATCCGTGAGTGTCAGAGATTATAACTAAACAACAGACGCAAGCACAATATCTCCTCTTTTGCCACGTGTTTAAGGGTTAACGCCGATTTTCCCCTTTCTGTTCTAAATTATCTGTATTTTTCTGCTTGGTCACAAAGTCCCTCAGCTGGAGTTTGGTTTCTAGCGAAGTGGAAAATTGGATTTACTCTTTTCAAGACAAAAGTGCCGGACACATCATCAGCTCCTCTGTGCTGCATTCAGGGACTATTTTTAGAGTTGGGACATGTGACAAACAGACACAATGTTAGATAACAGGCGTTTGAGATGGATAGAGGAAACTGAACAGGGCTCATTCAATGTGGGCTTTAAAGATTAATTCTAACTCGAGATTTGTGTATTTATAAGTACAAGTACAAGTGTAAATAGTTTTATATGGAGTAAGAAAACTTTCAGAAATATTTGTGTGCAAAGGATAGAAATGTGTGCATTTTTGGGAAATCCGTGCATATTTGGCTGTAGTTGAGCATAAAATAAATATTTGTAAACTTATTTTATCCATTAGAATACAAAATGAAAAGTTACAACATCAAGAATTACAATCGCAAAATGAAAATTTATGATTATGCTTTCTTTAGTCTTTCTTTAGTCCAGGTATAGTCCTGGTAAAGTCTGGGTTCAGCCCTGGTTTAATCTTGGAATCAGTCGTGGTTTAGTTGTGATTTAGTCCTAGTTCAGTCCTGGTTCAGTCCTATTTTAGTCCTGGTTTAGTCCTGTTTTAGTCCTGTGGTTTAGTCCTGGTTCAGTCCTGGTTTAGTCCTGGTTTAGTCCTGGTTTAGTCCTGGTTTAGTCCATATGCGGTGCAAAAGTCCGGCATCTCAGTGTTTGTTCTGCTCAATAAATAACTTCATGCCTGTGAAGTGATGACGTATTTTTGACAGTAAAGTTGCATCTGTGAATTCATATTCTTACTGATGAAAGTGTAATCGTAAATTTTCATTTCGTGATAGTAATTCATGATGTCGTAACCTTTCAATTCGTATTCTGATGGATAAAACACACACAACACATTTTATGTACGACTGGACTCATTCAAGAGTTTACAAATATTTATTTTATGCTGAACTACAGCCAAATATGCACGGATTTCCCAAATATGCACAGATTTATATCCTACGCACACAAAATATTTCTGAAAGTTTTCTTACTCCATAGTTTTACCACAAAATGTTACATTACATGACAGAAAGATTCTATTATTTGTACGTTTGTTTGAAGGTGTCTGTGTATACTAGTCTATGGGGGAGTGTTGAGCGAGTGGCTCTACATGTTGACAAACCCTATAGGTGCATTACGTAACTTTTTGGTGGTGCCTGTCGTCATGGAGATGTTAATGCTTTGCCTGCTATGTTCCACAGTGTAGCATTAAACATATCTATCAAACATTTATTTCACACTCATGTTTTTATTACCCAAAAACTTCAAACTTCAAAAACGTGCATTCTTACTGTGATCGCCTCTCCACAGATCTGACCTGTAACTTGTCTTTTGATGCCGTCTGCTTGTTTTATGGCAATGGATAAGTTTAATGCCACACTATGGAACATTCTTAGCATAGCAGTAAGAAGTTTTACAGTACACCTGGGTTTTAGGTTACTGTTATGTGTGACATTTTGAGAACTCTTCCACATGTGAAAGATATAATGTTTTTGTTTTAAAGGTGCACTATGTAACTTTTTGGTTGCTTGTTTCTATGGAGATGTCATTGCTGTGCTTGGGATGTTCCACAGTATGACATTAAACAGCTCTACTTTAACATTTATTTGAATACGGGTGGTTTTATAGCTCAAAAACGCCTAGAAAAACATGCATTCTGACTGTGAGCGGGGTCGCCTCTCCACAGATCTGACCTGTAACTTGGTCTGGTTTAGTCTCCATTAAGATAGAAACTTTAATACCATAGTGTGAAACATGCCAGACAAAGCAGGACCACTGAAAAATCTACGCAAGGCACCTTTAAGTTGTTAATCGCTATTTTCAAAGGTCCTAATGTCCCGTCATTCTCTTCCCGTTGCAGGATCAGCCGGAGGAGGACCTCGTCTCCCATCAGTCCTCTACTAGTCGTCTGTCCCGCTCTCCGCTCCGAGGTGTGAAGAAGGTGAAGATCATGCCGTGTAAAGTGACCCTGCTGGACGGGTCAGAGTTCACCGTCAATATCGAGGTGAGAGGGGAATACTTCTAACCACATTAGTCATTAATTCCGCTTTAGAAGACCATGTAAACACTTAATTCGGAATCGGTAATAATAATATCGGAATCAGTATTGAGTATCGAGTCTAGAGATGTAAAAATATCCAAATCTCTTGATACGATATTTATCACGATATGCATCTCACGGTACGATGTTTATTGCGATATTTTGGAGAGGCTGATATAACTGTAGATAGAATATTTTTTTTGCTTTTAAAATAGTTTGACAAGATTTTGGTGTGAATTATTTCCATCATAATCCCAAGAATTCAAGCATAAACCATATTTCTTCACGTTGTCTGCATTGAAATGAATCATGGGATATGTAGTTCCCGATGTTTATAAGCTGTTACTACTATAAAACAATGAATTTAAGCAAAGGAACTTGTAATTCGATATTATTGTGAGACTTTTGACGATACGATATGATGATATTTTGGTTATTGTTACATCCCTAATCGAGTCTGCTCCTTTGGTATCGAAATCGAGTTTGAAATGTTAGTATCGTGACCTATTTAAAAACTTCTTACAGCTGTTTTGTGTCAGATGTCTAAACTTGCCATGTTAATTCAGCTCAGATTTAGTATTTTAGCACATTAGTTGAGTCCACAAACCATAGATCATAAAAATGGGTGTCTGCTTTCCATATTAAATCCTACTTCATCTTGAAATACCATCACGCTGGAATCCTGAACTAATCTGACCCAAAACAAACCCAGCCCCAGAGGCAGCACCAGACCGTCCCCGTCAGAGCCCCCCCAGAGTCCAGCCTCTTCTGTGGGGTCTGGATTCCGGATTAGACGTTCCCTGTTTTGGGATTTGAACCGTAAACAAGGGTAATTTCTTGGAGGAAATAAGTGTCATTGACTGTGTGTGTTTTGGTGTGATTATTCTGGGATGTGCCAGAAAGGCTTTTGAGGACTGTCGCGCTAAATGAGGGTCAGTCTGGAGCCCTTGAGACAGACTGGAGAGGCTGCTGTGCGTGTTTAAAAGCAATGTCGGAAACGGTGAATCATCAGGATTAAAAGAACTTCGAATGAAAATAACAGCTTGATTGATTTTTTTAATTTTTCAAATTATTTTCTATTATTTATTTATTTATTTTGTATCCGCTATATCGGCGTGGGAAATTACTTTTTCCTTGGGGCCACATGAGAAACAGAAAATATTGTGGACGCCAAAATGCTTACCTCAATTCTGCAAAATATTAACTGTATTTCTTTATAAAAAGCAGTAAATATCATTGTTTTGACGAGCTGGTAAGACTGGTGAGAGTTTGTGTTATGACTCAGCAATGAAAAAGTGAGGCTGCCTTATGAAAAATGTCATTTAAAAAAAAGAAAAAAAACTGTAAAATAAAACAATGCAGCTTTTAGTCCATGCATGAGGTAAAATAATAAATTACGTTTATTTTGTAATTTCAAATTATGGCCGGGGAAAATGTCCAGGTCTGCTCTGTATGATGTGACTTTGATGAGAATGTTCCACAGTATGCCTTTTAAAATGTATTGTTTCCAAAGGTGGCTAGTACTCAGTTACATTTACTGGAGTAACTTTTTAAACAAATTGTACGTTTCATAGTACTTTTCTGCTCTTTTTATTGAAGTAACAGTACTCTTACTTGAATAAAAGTTACGCTTCTCACTGTAAGTAAGTCTACAAGTGACAAAAGCTTCATCTTGATAATAAGAAATTATTTGAACATTTGTTTTTTAGTCAGTTAATTTGCCTCATTTAGTCTGTCATGTTATCCCAGATTTTGGTGTATTTAATTCATGTTTTCTCCTTCAAATTACATTAACTTCAACTTATAAATCAGCTGTTACGACACCTGACAGCTACTCTCTACTTTTCCCAAATACATTTTACTCACACTAATAATTGCTTGGACCACTTCTTTTTACTTCTACTTGTGTAATAATATAATGTTTAACTCTGGGCAGATACATGGATTATGATACTTCGTTTGTGCTATCGTACTTTGTTGTACTGTTACTGATTTGTTTGTTTCCTCTTGTTGTATTTATGAAGATGAACTGGTTTCAAGATGACGCTCTGACAAAGGAATAAAGGGTAAAGGCTCAAACTTCAGCCTACACCTTTTCAGTCTCTGTATGTTAAATATGATTGTAAATAATGTCAGAATTATACCTGTGACTGAAATATATTAATCAATCAATAAAATTTTAAAGTAACGTTACTCTACATGAGCACAGATTTTGGCTCCTCTACCCACCTCTGATTGTTTCATTACTTTGTGTTTAATATTTCTAAAAAAAACACCTGAAAACCATGTACATCTTACAGTGTGGATGCCTTTGTTTGGTCTGGTGGCGCCACCTGCTTGTCCCAGTGTTAATCTTAGTTAAGTGTAATGCCACACTATGGGACATTCAAGGCAATAGTGGTGTTGATTTTGACACTAAGGAATAGACACGATACTCAGTCCCATTTCCGATGCCACAAAGACAGTAGAATGTGATTTTCAACATTAAATCATAATACTTTTATATTACCATATTGATTTATATCTCAGTTTTCCAGGTATTATTCTGATACATCTTAAGATCATTCTAAATTTATTCAGGAAAGGTTCATTTCTGTCCTGTGAATGTCACTTTTTTAGTATCGATACCTGTTCAAACAAGTATTTAGTTTTGACGCAAATTTTATAATCTGTTTTTCGATACTTTTGACAAATGTAAAAAGTAGGATTGTAACAATAACTGAAAGATCGTGGTATCGTCAAAGTTCTCACAATAATATCATGGACCATCACAATATATCGAATTACAAGTGTCTTTGCTTAAATTAAGAGTTATGGTGCAGCAATAGCTAAAAAAAAAGGCATTGGGAACTACATAGACCATGATCCTTTGCTCCATTTCGACATAAACTACATGAAGAAATAACAGTTCTAAGCACTTTTGAGTCTTAGTTTTCTTTATTAAGTCTTGTCATGGCATTTTAATAGGAAAAAGTCACATATTATTTGTTAGCCTCCACAAAATATCGCAATAAATACCATATTGTAAGACGTATATCGTGAAAATATCGTACAGAGAGATTTGGATATTGTTACATTCCTAATCATGAGCTTTCCCACAATATCTAAATAAATATTGTACTGTGAGGTTCAGACGGTGACGATATCGTATCATGAGACTTGATTATCGTTACACCCCTAATAAAAAGTCAAAGCAATGACATGTTAATGGAAAAGTCATACAGTGCACCTTTACTTTTGGGGAGTTCATTTCTTTTATGTTAATTCGCGTAACCTTGAAAAGCAATTATAAACCGTGTGGTTGTACTAAATACAGGGTCAACAGTCTCGTCTCCCGCTGACTACAACCATTTATCATTCATGATGGTTAATATTTATGAGCTGAATAATTAGATTTCAATTTTTCTTTCGTTCTTAACTGCCTGTCATCTTTGGGTCAGGTGAAGCTACAGTGTCCTTTCTGAACCATTTGCTCTTTGCATTTTTGTGATAAAATAGACTTAAAGTTAAAATTAAAATATAATCCTGGGTTATAGATGACAGCATGGCATTCCTTAGACTGAAAATATATTAAGAGAGAGATTAGAGAAAGTAAAGTCAGTATTTTGCATATGCTACTTTGTGATTTAATAGAAAGTTTTAGCCCTAGTGACCAATTAGATATTTTCACAGACATGGACATTTCACACACAACTATAAACACAGATGATGTCCATAACTTTTTACTCAGCTTCCTGGTAGGGATGGGCATTCGATAAAATTTTCTTAAGCAATCTTTGAGAGAATGAACGATCGATTTTTGATTAATCATTAACGTTTTTAGATAAAAATTCTTATCGTTATTATTACTGTTTCTAATCTGCATAAATAAACTCAACTTTACAACATATACAGTAAACCATAGAGCCCGTTTGAGATTATCATGTGTTTAATGCAGCTTTGACACATTTATTTACGTCTTACAGAAACAAAACTTAAAACCACACGGCTCATTTGCATAAACTGTAAGTGCAGCTCTTAGCTCTTAGCACAGCTCTTTGTTTAACTTCATTTCACTCACTTTATTTATTTTGGCTTCTGTTGTGTTGAAAAGACTGAAAAGTGCACATGTCTTTTGGACACGTGTGCGCTTTTCTGTCACATGCAGTAACCGGGATACTGAGTTTACATGCACCATGACAAAACCGGGATACTCAAAAAACCCGATCATACCCAGGACACCGATGTGCATGTGAACACACTCACTGAGAGGTTCACGGTCTCCAAGGAGGTACCAGAGCCAAAACGTGGGACTGTGAGGCCGCAACTCCAGTGTTTGTGCTGTCAGACGCAGCCTCGTCTCCTTACGCTACACACAGCAACCTACAGTCGGTTTGTCAATTAAAAATGAACGTGATCGACGAAATTCTTAATGATCAATTGTCAGTTAGTCGACTAATCGTGCCCTTCCCTACTCCCTGGGTCCTTTTCTATCAGCAGAGTAAATTCAAATTTGCCACGTGGCTTTAAGTTTCGCTTGTATAAACGTAAACAAAGTGCGCAGATCTTTCCTTATGTCATTATAGTCTACAGATGTGCTGACCGTAAAAGCTTTTATTTTCATTGTTATATAAAGTTGGGTTTATCCAGATAGTTTTATTGTGAAATGTCTGAGGCAATGAAATTTTTACTGCGTTACAAATTCTTGTGCAGAGATCAGCTGTGTTTGGAAGCCTTCAGGGAAAATCTCTGCTCCTTTCGGCTGGTTAGGAAGCTCTCAAGGTTCCTATGCTAAAGGAGCTAGGAAAGGAAGCATGCAGATTCATTTAACTAACTCCTTCCTATCTCTGCGGACTATTTGGACTGTCCTTGCCATGTCAGACGCTGACACACATCCTGTTTGGGCTTAAGGAGGAGAGGGAGCTCGGAGCTTAGAGGCCAATTTGACGGATTCAGAACAAGCCGAGGAGACGTCTTGGGGTCAT